CTTGCTGACAGTTTGACCCGGTTGCAGAATTTCTCACTCCTCTGCTAAGAAAAATCTCTCCTTCCCGCAGGCTCCCCAAGTAGAACCGAGTAAGACAGAGGCGCTTTCATCTCTCAGGGCCATCCACCCTCACTCTGCTTAAGCCTCATTTGTTTCCTCTGCCTGAAAGAAGCCTTTTGCTTGCTGTGCCAGGGTTGGCCAGAGCCAGAGAGCGTCCAGGGCTGCGACTGCTTTGTTCCTGAACCCCGTGTGAAGTCTTGGAAATGCCTGCATACACTGGAGTGAGGGGTAGTGACCAGGTGCCTAGGATCATTTTCCCATGGAGTTCCTATCACTTTTCTTAGTTCACACCTGGCTCCGTGACCTTTGGAAACTTCTGAACCTCTCTGAGGACCCTTGTCCTTCAGCTGTAAAATGAGACTGGTAAGAGTTGGACTAAGAGTCACTCACTGGGTGACTGAGCGAACACAGAGAGATGGATCTGTGTCTTGTGCAGAATGCTCACACACAGCTCTTCCCACACTCCGTGTGGCTGCCAAGTGGCCTGGGTATGGTCATTTCAGGGTTGTTGTTGTTGTGTAGCTGCGAAGTCATGTTCAACTCTTTTGTGACCCCGTGGACTGTAGCCCACTAGGCCCCGTTCTCCATTGGATATCCCAGGCAAGAGTACTGGCGTGGGTTGCCATTTCCTCCTCCAGGGGATCTTCCTGACCCAGGGATCAAACCCACGTCTCCTGCACTGCCAGGCATTTCTTTCCTGCTGAGCCACCTGGGGAGCCCCATATCAGGGTAGGTGCCCTCATCTTAGCTGTGGTCCAGTCTGTCTGTTTGCTTAGAGCTGCTTTCAGACAGGTTTCAGTTAGTAAATGAAGCCACATGCCCTGTATTTCAGTCTGTATTGGTCCCTGAATGGTTGAATGGAACGTCATTTGCAATTCTTTATTGGAACTGAAGAATTCCATTGAAAATACCTTGGCTGGAAGAAAACAGAATTTGCAGTGTGATCATTCATCATCTTGGGGCTCTTATTTTCTGAAGATTTTGTTCACTTTTTTCAGAGATTCTAAGTCACCGTGCTCCCCTCTCTGGCTTGTCCCTTAGGTTCCCCGTAAGGAGCCGCTGCCACTGTGCCAGACCTCCTGGGGGCTGTCTGCCCGACTGCCCCAGACTCCGGCAGCGGGGCCGCCGATGGCAGTGGGCACCTCCCCGTGAAACCTGCCAAGCTGGACGCCACAGCTCTGCACGACGACGCTTTGGCCAACTCTGTGCCCCCTTCGGAGGCGTGCAACCATGCAGTCCTAGCCTGCGGCCTGGGCATCCCCGAGGAGCACTATGTGAGCGAGGCCGTGGAAGATGCGCCCAGCTGCAGAGGGTACCGAGATGCCTGCACCATCACCGGTAAGGGGGCCTCTCCCTGCCGGGGATGGGGGAGTCAGTGAGGACAGGGGAATGGTGGGGCTGCAGGAGGGGGTCTAGGGGAGGAACCTGGAGGTTGAGGAGAGACCACCAAAGGGCAAAAAGTCTCAGCTTTGGGGTTGTGAGGCCTGCCTTCCAGAACTGAACCGTCTGAGATAAAGACGCCGTGTAACAGAATTGTCCTGAAGGTTAGAGATGGGAGCACCGAGTCTTGAGCAGTGCGCCTGGCCCGTAGTGGCGCTCAGGGTGGTTTGGTCCCTTGCCCCTCTTCCTGAGGCTCTGTTTCTTCCGACATAAAATAGGTGTAATGAAAATAACACGCCATGGTGCTGTGGGCTGCCGCGGTGGGGAACTCCCTGCAGGGCCCTGTGCACACCACCAAGTTCAAGTTCTTACAGATGCCTGGGTCAGTCACACCTTCCCAGTGTCCTAGGAACAGGGTAATCCACCCCCCCACCTTCCCAGTGCATTGGCAACACCTGCTATTCAGGCACATTGTAATGGAGCTCTGGCTTGTTTCTTTCCTTGAGGGATCCTCGTGACAAGTGTTTGGAGCCAGCTCCAGAGGGGCCGTGAGTGGGAACGGTGTGGGCTGGTGTGCGGAACAGCAGTGAGGAGCATCGTGATACATCCAGTTGCGTTTTTATCGAAGTTTCTGCCCAGGTCTCACCTTGTCTGCACTGTTTGCTTTCACACTCTTGTTGGAAATAATGTTCGTTGACAGTTTCAGATATGCAGATTTGCTTCCAGTTGGTTTTCGCTGTTTTCTCACCAGTTAAGCATTGAGGACCCCCCGCCCCCCCGTGTCAAAAGCTTCCTGGGTAAAAGGAGCATGGAGATGCCGGGGATCCCAGCTGAACCCCTGGGTGCCAAGCCCTTCCTCCACTTGTGTGCTGAATCCTCCTGCTACTTGCCTGGCCCCCAAAGGACACACGTCCAGCACCTGTCTTGTCTCTACCACACCATCCATTTCTCCTCGCTCCTGTATCTCTCCTATTATCACAAAAACAGGTGACCACATCCTCCTCCTTAAAAGGAATCCTTGTTTGCTCTTTTCCCCACAGCCAGCATCCCTGTCTCTGCTCTTTGGTTTGCTGACTCTGGTTTTTCTCCTGCTTTCTCGTGTGTCCACTACACACAGGCTTGGACCCCACCGCACCCCCAGTACTGATGGCCTCATGCAGTTTGGCAGTCCGTCGTCAGCCTTCTCGGCAGGAGCTGACACTGCCAACCACCCCCTTCTCCTGAAAATGTGGTCCTCCCTTGGCTTTGGGTCCTGACCTGGCTGGCTGCTCCTTTCCGGAAACCTGGGAAGCCCTGGGGCTCAGCTCTTCTCTCTCCTGGGTCCGTGACTCCCTAAGTGATCTCACCCAGGCTCCAGGAGTTAGAACCCGCCTCTGCACTGACCACTGTCCAGTGCCTGTCCTCACGCTGGACTTTGCCCCTGAAGGCCAGATGTGAGGGCCTGATCCACACACAGCATTGTCCTGGGATGCCTGATAGGCTTCTCTGACTCACCTGGCCTTTAGTGAACTCCTGGTTCCCTCCACCTGCTTTCTTTGCAGTCTTTCCAAAGGTCCTTTTGCCCTTTCAGCTGCTCAGGCCAGAAGCCTTGCAGGCACTCGTGATCTCTGTATCCCTTTCCCACCCTGGTTCACTAGGAAGTCTATTGACTCATGGTTCACAGTGTGTGCAGAGTTTGACTGGTTCTCGCCAGCCCCAACAGTAACTGGTTGAAGCCACCTTCATCTCACGCTCAGATTGTTGCAGTGGCCTCCTGACTGGGCCTCCTGCTTCCTTGCTTGCCTCTGTGCAGTCCAGTCTCTGCCTATCCGGAAGGAGTGACTTTCTAAATACAAAGTCGGATGGCTTAACTCTTCTGCTTCACACCTCTCCTCAGCTCCCTTCTGACCATGGCTTAAGTGGCAGGCTTTCCTGTGCCCCTTTGACCCATCTCCTCTTCAGCCCACTCCAATCCAGATACACTGGCCTCCTCACTAATTTTTGAACAGACCCAGAACATCCCACCTCAGGGCCTTTGTTCTTGCTGCTGCCCAGCTCCTGGGTGGCCTTAACCGCAGGTGGCCTCCTGATTCCTACTGTACTTTGTCCAAATGGCATTTCCTTGGAGGCCTTTAGTGAGTCCCCTGCAGAGAGAATGGTCTACCCCTTTCCCCATCTCCCTTACCTGCTTTAGCTTCCTCCCCAGATTTAGCCATGAGCTACTATGTGGTTGCATTCTGTTGACCAAACCTGCGGTTAAATAGAAACTACTACTAGGGTAATCACAAAGGCAGGGGCAAGGATTTTGTGCATCCTTGAGTCTCATGACTGAAAGAGCACCTGCATGTGGCCATTACTCAGTAACTATTTGCTAAGTGAATGAAACGTGTCATTTAATTATTACTACATTCCCATGAAGTGGGGAATGTTGTCCCTATCTTGCAAGCAAAGGGACTAAATCGGGAAAGGCTCGGCATCCGCCGAAGATCCCTGAGCTCTAAGGGGCGGGGCTTGCTGTAGCTTGTGACCCCAAGATACATGTTCCCTGCCCCACCTCCGCCAGGAATACAGTCCAGTTGGGGAGACAGATGAGCGAGTAGAAATAGGCTATGTAGCATGGTTAGACCAATGATAAGCACCAAGGAGGGTGCCTGGCTGAGCCTTGAAGGGGAAAGGATGGGGGAGACCAGGAGGGCTTCTCAGAGGAGGCAGTGTCCCAACTGCATTTTCATTTGTCTGAACACATAAGCTCACCACTGGGATCCTAGTGGCATTTTGCCAGTGAAATCCAGGAAGCGTTTCACTTGTTAAAGTAGTTTCACTTCGAACGTGACACACGAGAGCAGAGTAATGGCAGAATGGCAGTGCTGAAACGTCAAACCCTTTGGGGCGTGGTAGCTGGTGGCTCTTTGCTGGAACATCCGTAGCAGGCGCCCTGGGACAGCTGAGAAACAGCTCAGTGCTGTCACGTTTGGCAGAGGCTTGGTAAACAAGAGTGTAAACACAGCCACTCTTGCGTGCTTAAGGCAGCCAGGCAATGCAGAACACGCTCAGGTTAAAGCTTTGTATGTTGGTCTTTGGGAGGAAGACAGAAAACAGAAAACCCTCTTGAGTATCACCGAGTCCACATATGTGGACTCCAAGCGCTTTGCCAAGTGCAGTCCTGGGAGACCGCTTGGCATCCAGCCTCAGATAAATCCATGCCACCCCCGGTTCCCAGGGAGCGTTGAGATGAACAACAGGCTTTTGTTCCTCTCTAATTTTTAGGCAAAGCCAAATTGCCCGGCACAAAGCCCCGCTCCCCTTCTCTCTCCCTCCCCAGGGATATCACATTTTGGGGTGCGTCTTTTTTCGGTTTGGGGTGGTTTAACGAGATGAGCTGATAGGGTGCCCAGGCTGCCTGGAGTTATGTAACCCATTGTGCTTCCAGGGCAGTGCACAGTCTTAGGATTTGCCCCAACAAGCAAACTCAGAAATGCTGCGTAGGTGCAGGAGGTGGCTGTGCTGAGGTGCTGCCCAGGCTGGGTGCTAATGGAGGATCACTCTTCGTTCTGAACGGCCGCTGGAGTTTCTTTCTGCACATGGCCTTGGTGTTTCAGTTCGGGCAGCCTGTGAGGGCCCAGCCTCTGCCAGGACTCTGCCCAGGCAGGCTCATTCGGACAAGCTCATGTGGTGAGTGTGCCTGCCCGGCATGTCCACTATGCTTTTCTTTGTGAAGATTGTGGCCAGAGGGGCGAAAGGCCGCAGGAGAAGTCGTTTCTCTCCTGTCTGTTCAGCTTGGCAGGTTGTCCTTGGACTGGGGATGGGAAATTGTGGTATTGACTTGCTGACATGCAGAGTGGAAGGACCTTGGAAGCCGCTCACCCCCTTCCCAGTCCCTCATCCAGGCTCAGAAGAGGCGGGTGACCCCCCACGGGGCCACGAGCAGCGTGTCTGAGTTGGGACCAGGCTTCTGGGCTCCCACCACCTTGCCCTTCGAAACTGTCTGAAGCAGCTGACCAAGGTCTCCAGGGCCCCCTCTGGCCTCTCCTCCTCTGTGGTTTTCCTGACCCTGTGTCTTATCCTGGTTTCTTAGAGCCTCATCTGGTGTCTGGGTCAGCAAGGGATTTTTCAGAAGGTGAGGAACCCAGGCAGACAGTGTCTCCCCCAATCCTTTCCTCTTCTTCCACCCTCGGTTTTCTTTTCTTCCCTCTGTATTAAATGTGCTTGGTCCTATCCCTCCCGTCCACACCCCAGTGATGGCGAGCTTGCTAATCGGTTCTGCTCTGGCTTGTCTCATGCTGTGGGGCTGACGCTTGTCCTCACTTCCTCAAAGCTGATCGGAGTCGGACAGTTGGTGCATCTAATGCTGTCCTGTCTGTACGCTGTTACTCACAGTCTGTCTGGGACCACACACCACGGAGTTTCTCAGAAGCGTGAGCTCTTCTTGTTCCATTCAGTTGTAGGATTCAAGACGTATGAGAACTCTGCATGGGAGATTATAGAGATGCTGTGCTGTGTGTGTATTTGAAATATCTTCAGGCTTGGTCATTCCTTCTGTTCAGCTGGCAGCTACCTGAGGCCAGCCTTTTGATGGTGTCCACAGGTGAGAGCTGGTCTCCCCCTCAGAGCCCTGGAGGTGGGCAGAGGTGGAAGCGACTCACTGTGGCCCGGCCAGGATTGCTCCCACTGTGCTCAGGGGGACTGTCTTTTCTGGGTGTCCTTGTCATTTCAGGGTCACCATTTCAGACTTGTTCCTTTTCTGTCACCAATTTAAGCCATCAGACTTGGTGACTTAGCCTCTGAAAACATGCTCAAATAAAATATTACGGACGTCTTTTATGAATTAAATGTGAAATCTCTTATCAATTCCTGTCTAGTATAAAATTTTTATTGTGTCTTCCATTGAAAACGTATAATGTTAATGGTACTTACTTGGCTAAATGAAACAGAAAAAAAATGGACGATGAAAACACCCCTTCTTTCACAGAGTGAGAAAATGTGAATTAGGATCTAGGGAACTGCACGTCTCTTTCCGAATTCATAACTTAGAAATGATCTTTGCTTTTCTCAGTTGAATGGCCCCGGTTTAGCAGTTGGTTTGTTTTTGCAAGTGCAGTGCAGGAGGAGGGCCCTGTTATGCTCGTTTTAGAGCTAACACTTAATCTTCAGCAAAACACAAAACATTCACCTTTGTCTTTTAAACTTGCTGACCTTGCTTCTCCTCCACTCCTCATCCTTAGGTGAGTGGGTAGAATATCTATCAGACAGGGTTTTGCCATGTACTGTAAAATTTAGTTAAAATTATTAGTAAGAGTCCTGTTATATGATTGACAGGCTATAGTTACAGATGCCTGATATATTCCTATCTTGATAATTCATTTTTGTTCTGAATTTGAGACAAGTTTTAATGTATCTGATGTATTGGTGTTAGTCTTTGCCCGTTTCAAACTGTTTTAGGAAGCTGGCAAATAATAAATTAAAATTAAAAAATAAAGGGACTTCCCTGGCATTCCAGTGGTTAAGACTCTGCACTTCCAATGCTGGGCCCACGGGTCTGATCCCTAGTTGTGCGGTAATGAAGATCCCACATGCTCTGTGGCGTGGCCAAATTAAAAAATAAAATAAAAAATAAAGAGTAGTGTTATTAAAGGTTTGATCAGGGGTGCTTTGCAAGGGCTTCAGTACATTGAGTTCCCCAGCTGCAAATAGCATTCCTAAGGGTGTTCCTTTAGGTACCGGGTTTTCATAATGGATTTACTTTGGTTTGTTTTGCACGTATCAGAGCAGTTGTCGCTTCACACACGCTGTGTTCAAGCTGCTCTTTAGGGGGACTGGAGGGGCCAGACACGAGCCTCTGTCCTCAGCATCCTTTTGTGACCCTCTGCTGAGGTTTGCTGTAGGGACTTGGAAGGGATTCAACAAGAGGGAGTGCTGGGTGTGGCTTGCAGGTGGGTTTGAATGTTCACCCAGTCACACAGTTCACTGGTGATTCTGGGACTCATGGCCCAGAGAACCTTGACTTTCTTCTCTGACCTCTGATCTTGACCTCAGACAAACTTGAGCAAATCAAGCAGAAACTATCGTGAACAGGAACTTTATAGCTGTAATTGGACTTGGAACGAATCAAATTTCATAGATCTTGTGTTAGGGCTTTTCTGAGAAACAGAACCAACAGGATATTTTTATTATATATGTTTATATATCATATTCTAAGGAATTGGCTTATGCAGTTATGGAAGCTGACAAGTCCCAAGATATATAGCTGGCATGCTGGAGGCCCAGGAGAGGCAGTGGTGTAATTCCAGTCCAGAGATTAGCAGGCTCAGTGGCTCAGATGGTAAAGAATCTGCTTGCAATGCAGGAGACCCAGGTTCAATCCCTGGGTTAGGGAGATCCCCTGGAGAAGGGAATGGCAACCCACTCCAGTACTCTTGCCTGGAGAATTCCACGGACAGAGGAGCCTGGTGGGCTATAGTCCATGGGGTCACAAAAAGTCAGATATGACTGGGTGATCACTAACAGCTTAGAAAGAGCCAGTGTTTCAGTTTGAGTCCAAAGGTGGGAAAAAGCTGATGTCAGCTGGAGGGCAGTCAGGCAGGAGGAATTCTGTCTTACCCTAGAGAGAGTCAGCCTTTTTGTTCTATTCAGACCTTCTATGGATTAGATGAGGCCCGCCCACATCATGGAGGGGAATCTGCTCTACCCAGTCTACCGACTTAAAGCTTAATCTTATCCAAAAACACCCTCACAGAAACAACCCAGAATAATGTTCGGCCAAATATCTGGGTACCCCACGGCTCAGTTTAGTTGACAATTAGCCATCACAGATCCTAACAAAGGCTGACGTTTACTGGGTAGTTGCTCTGTGCCTGGCAGCCTTCCAGGCACTGCTCTGGAAACTCACTTTGTTCTCAGCACAACCCTGCCGGGCAGGGACTGATACCACCCTCATCTTTAAGAAGGTGCAGAGTGGGGAGGTCTCCCCCCTCTCATGTAAACCAGGCATCCTTGGGGTTTGCACCCAACAGTGTTGTTTTCTGACCCTATTTAACCTCCTTCATTGTGTGTTTTTCTCTTCTATTAAGTTCATTGAAGGAGAGTTTTAATGATAAAAATAACACATGCAAATAGTAAAACTCAAAATTGTACCAAAGCATAGTCAATGTAGAGAAGCAATCACCCTTCCATCTGTACAGTTTAACTATTAAAAAATCATTCCAGTAAATTTTTATGCACCTAATTCTTTTCTCTGAAAATACACTAATGGGAGCGTACCGTATACCCTAATCTGCATTTTAAAAATTAACAATATTATGATTGATTCATTGCAGTACATAGGATGTTGCCTTATGCTTTGAAATGACTTCATAGTTGCTCATTGTTTGGCTGTATCATTATCATCTTCCATTTATTTATGTTCTCAGACAGAATGGGTTTTTTTTTTTTTTTTTTTTGGTAATAAGCATTGTGCAATTCCTCCTTTATTAACCAGAAATTAATAGGTAATAAATCCTTCTAAATACATCATCTTAGAAGTAACAATGGAATGCCTTATTGTAATGTAAAAGAGCAACTAAAGTAAAATGATGGTGCCTGAGTTCTGGTCGTAGCTTCATGGACCTGTCCTCATTAGAATGTGTAGTGAGCAGGCATGCGCCGCCCCTGTGGATAGGGTTGTTGTGCAGGTATTAGCTCTAAGGGCAGTTAACCATACTGGCCTCTCAGCGGCCAAGAATGAGCCACTGTTTTTGTCAATCCTCTCTTGACAGTTGCTTTGTTTCCAGTGTTTGCTTTTTAACAGTGCCCCAAGGAACAACATTCTTGCATGTATGTCTTTTGGGTCACTTATTTCACAGTCTGCGGGCTAACAATTTAGGATTTGGTGTGCATTGCAGCATAGCCCTCCAAAGAGCCTGCACCTATTAAGTGCCCAGCATCCATATGGGGAGGCGGGGGTCTTTGGGTTTGATCAACCATTTTCATCATGGTTAATCAGATAGTCATGCAAAATGGTATTTCATCTTATTTTGTTTCTTCTTAATTATGAATGAGTCTGTTCCTCCATTTTCTTTTGTCTCATTTTCTGCAAACAGCCTGCTTCTTATCTTTGCTCATTTTTCTAGTGGGTGTTGGCCTTTAAGAGGTATTCTGGAGATTCTGTTGTGTGTACAGAGGGTAGGGTGGTGTGCCAGGGTGAGATTCTTTTATATTTCAGTAGAGGAAAAAATGTCTTGAAAATAGTTACACTAATTACTATTTAACTGTGACTATGTCCAATATTCACAGAAGTACAGGGTGCTTGGAGATTATGTAAAGGGGATTTCTAAGGTGGCATTTCTAAGAAGGCTTCTCTAGGAAAGCCATATTTAGGCAGAAATCTGAAGGCTGTGTAGGTGTCAGCAGAGAGGGAGAGAGGGAAGGAGCAATCCACACATTGAAGATAGCATGAGCAAAGGCCCTGTGGTGGGAAGGTACTCTGATAATAGTAGCTAACGCTGATAGAGTGCTTACTATGTGCTTCACACTGTCCTCAACGCCTCTTGTGTCTAACTTTGTTTAATTCTCTTGTATTAGTTATCTGTCACTGTGTAACAAACTTCCCCAAAGCTTGCACCATGGAAAGCAGTCTGGTGGTTCTTCAGGTTAAACATAGTAGCTGCTTATGACTTAACAGTTTTTCTCCAAGTTAT